ACAGAGACGAACGGGCGGACGGACGGACGGATTGAGAGACGGATAAAATACTGCTCGTCCTACTTGCCGTCAATCACTGTACGTCAGATGACCGTAAGATGCACCTGTGACGGGCTCGGAAATAATTTCACTGTTTTTGTTTATTCTTTCTTTATCCGTTTGATTGGGGTCATTTTCCACCCCCGCTGACCGCCCTCTTCATTCGCACCTCCGCCTCCCCCTCCCCCCATCACCCGTCTGTATTCCGTCCGGACTACTTCGTTCAAGGAGAAGTCTACGGGAGAGCTTTCCTGCAACGTAACGAACAATTAATAAGTCATCCAAGAGGACCTGTTGCCGAGCACCACGCGAGGTCTATGAGACACGAACTCGTTTATCCGAATCTGGAAAATTACACCTTACTAATATTTGTATCTGCATTTCTCTAAGGTTCTCATTGGATAAAATTGAGGAACATTATATGCATGCATGTGTGTGTGTGTTTGGACTGGAACTGCGGCGATCCATTCTACTATTACCATTAGTATTGCTACGCGACGCTCCAAAATGATTGAATCATTTGTTCAAGGTGGTGCCCGTCTACCTTGCAGCTCAGCCCTAAGGGTGTTGGCTCTCAACCTGAAGGTTTGCGGTTCGAGTCCTGAAAGGGACACGAAATGTACGCATTACTCACAAATATCTAAAATGGTGGAACTGCTTTCTAGCGCACCGCTCTTTGTCAGTAACCAAAAATATTTTTATCACATATAAACTACGATATCAACTTTGGCGCCGTATCTACAACATGAAGAAAATAAATACCTTGTTGTGATCGATACTGAGAGTTTCATTAGTAACTCAGTCGCATACATGGTTGAACTTAAATATAATCCACAAACCCTGACAATGGACCTGGCAGGACGAATTATTAACCAGCCCTGGGGATTTTAGCATACGTTTCAAATTCGATCTTAAAATGAACTTGGTCTATGTTTATATGGGATGTGGTGTTCACTGTCCCCACTAATCCAGAAAACAGTGACTATTACGTATGTATGACATTAGTGTTCATTTGATATTGTTGTTTGCATCTTTGACTAGTCTGACATTATAGTATGTACGACAATTGCACGGAAAGGAGACTACATGTGGCTAAATCATTGATCAAAACCATTTATCTTATCCATTATGAAGCCATAGCAAATATCACAATTGTCCTCAGAAGAAACGAACGGGGATCTTCAAAGAGGTAAATAAATGAATTAAAATTTGATGGGTATTACTATTTTTTTCACAAATCAATGTTGCGGGGTAGTTTGGCTGTATGGAGAGGATTTTTTGATTGCTCATCTTTGTGTGTTTTCCCGAAGCAATGCGTGCATGCTCGTGTGTGGATGTGTGGGCGCGTGCACTTACAGAGATCCCGTTGAGTGTCTGTTTGTAAACTTATTGATAACAATGCGGGTTTGTGATATCCCCTTGGATCGACGGATTGGAACCCGGATGTTTTCAATGGTTTTCCCACAATATATGACAGGTTTCGGCACAACTGCCTCTGTTCCCTCCAAAAACAAACGAAAACCTACAAGCACATCAGTTGGTTATCTCGTTCTCGTACTCGTCGTCTATCTGTTTTCCTCTTTCCCCGTCTGTCCTCGTTCCGTTTGTATGCGTGTGGATTACTGTTTTTCTTTCTATTCTGACTGAGGCAAGCAACAGGCACTGAAGCTGAGCCGGGGATGAAACAAGATGGACAGTTCATGACGCATTCATGACCAAGTCCCTTTCAACTGGTAGACATTTTCGTTATTGCTTCCAACTGGGCAACTCGTGACACAAAAACAGAGAGAGAGAGAGAGAGAAGGAAACGCACAACTGTCTGTATCGTATCGTCTTTCAGCTAGCCACGGGGCGTCAAGTAAAACAGTCCACAGAGCACGGCGTA